GAGTATGTGACAGACAAGAATAGTATGTGACGGACAAAATAGTATGTGACAGACAAGAATAGTCAATTCTAATGTCTAACACTTAATATGGAGAAAGAGATGTCCTGTGTGGGTTGATTGTGCGTTGATCTGTTGGTAATGCCACGGGGTTCCGGTGGGCATGTAAACAAATGCATATCGACGCTTATTGTTTAGGTGTCTTTTAATAAGCAGGTAGTCCTATCATTAGCTAGAACTAGCTGGATCTGATCGATATGGACATAAACGCGAGTGAAGTCTAATCTGACGGGAGAGAGAGATCAGCTGCTGCTGACGACGAGTCGACACGCAGCTCTGCATGATCACATGCAGCGGTGAGCGGAACAAAACACACACTTCAGGTTAGAATATCACACGTAGCTATTTTAATTACCTCTCAAACTACCTAAACTAGTTATAGATATGTTTAGTTTTACTGTCGGGTCACTCATTACTGGTTCCGCGAGCTGCATGACACTGACGGGCTGTCAGGAGAGGGAGAGAGCGCTCCGTTTATTATTCCCGTGTTATTGTAAGTTACTGTACACTTTTGAATAGTTAATCTACTATAATTAGTTTGTTTGATATCGAATCATATCAATTTGTTTTAAAGCTCAATAAATAACAAAGAAGACCTTTGACCGGCACTTTTCAAACTTTGTCCGGAAGATTTAAACTTAACGGACATGTTGACCGGCGAAAACATATTCTAACGGGAACTCTGCTGTAGTGTAAGGATTCAGGATGCTAAAAATGTATTTGGTCCGGTTTAAATCCAGCAAGGGACCTTTGCACAATAGACTGTCCTCTGGTCTCTACAGCAACCTACCTAATACTAACGCAAAAAAAGCGTGAACGTTTATAGCTTTGAGGTGAGATGATCTTACATGCAACATTTTACCTGGAGATGGCAATCTCGACTTTGGTTTTGGCGATAGCTGCCGCTCTCACTGCTCCCTCGATGGCTCGATCCACCTTCTGTTTGGTCTTGGCGTTCCTCAGCGGGATCAGCTGCTTCTTGAGGCCTCGGGCCAGAACGTTGTTCTTGTACTTCCCTTCTTCTTTGGATCCATCAGGGAACAGAGTGCAGCCGTAGCCATGGCGCTTATTGTTCAACCACTCGCCTTCGTACTTCATGCCGTTGGAGCGCTCTGAGACACCAAATCCACTGCGCTTGTCGTTCTTCCACTCACCCATGTAGGCCTCGGTGGTGGTGGCATCCACGTAGTCCTCCAGAGGCAGGTAATCATCGCCTGTGTCTCCGTCTCCAAAGCTGATGGTGGAATTGGCGTCACTAGAACTGATGCGGCTCATGTTTGTGTCGCTGTGTGCTGAGCTGCGTTTACTGGAAATTGACGATCGTGAGTCAGATTTGCGCAGTCGCTGAAGGCTCCCAAAGAGGGAACCACGGCGAAAAAGACCCTTTTTCTTCTCTGAACCTTCTCCGTCTGAGTGGAAGTTGAGTACAAAGCCACCACGTGTACCGGCAGGGCTGTCAGACAGGCTGTCACGAAGTACTATACCATTACTCTGCTCACTACGGAGGGAAGACAGCGAGGTTCGTAGAGGTGAGC